ACTACCTGAGCTCAGGGGAGGCAGAGTCACTGTCCAAGGTCTGATGTCAGAAAGGAAGAGTACCAGAGGCAGGTGCCTCACTGGAAAAAGATCCCCAGTGGCGACCATCTGGGATAAGAGGCATGCTGGGCTTAGCTGTGTGATTTCAATTCTCTTTCCTGCCCTCGACAAACCTCAGGCCCCTCATCATGCGGAAACGTGAGGCAGGAGACCAATGAAGCTGTCTGCTCTGGATAACATGCATAGCCTCTGGAAACCTGGCCAGGGCTGTCAGGAGAGGGAATGAGCTTGACGGCAGTGGACATGGCTTCCTTAGTTTATTAAACTAGCAGACATCGTGGGGAGGCAGAGTCATGAAATTTTCTGGGAACACCAGAACAGGTTTAGTCTGGAAATCTAGAACCCCAGAGCTCTTGGGGCAGGGGCGGGGGGAGGTACTTGTCCAGGAACATAAACACCAAACAAAAATCCTTCAAACTCCAGCCACTGCTCTGGATGTGACTCATAGCTGACCCTCCAGTGGGTTTTCCAAGTCTATAAATCAAATGTGAAAACACTGTCCATATGTTATCCTCGGAGCAGCTGGTGGATTCTAACCACCTTTGGGTTAGCAGAGCAACACCCTGTGGACTATGCCACCAGAATTCCCTGCTTGGGAACAGAGAGAGCGTCATCTGCTCGGGTCCTGCCTCTCTGGGTCTCTCTGTTCCCTAGGCTGGGCTTTCCCACCAGAAATTAAAAAAGAAGAGGAGGAATTCACAGCCTTTTGCTGAACCATCTAACCAGACCTAATTAATCGATAAGCCAAGCTGCTGCTTTCCTGCCAACTAGCCACCCAAAGAGTACTTACTTCATCTGTGAATTGATTGCTATACTTTCAACACCACCACGGCTAATCCCCACCACCCGCCAGGGCTGGGTGCCAAGGAGAGCTATGAGCTGCTGAGTAGGGAACGCTCTGCCAAGTCACCAGGGACCTCTAAGCAGCCTCGTCTACAAGTGGTAAACTGAGGCCCACAGAGGGAAGGCAGAAGTGCAGGGCTTGGCTGGATCCAGGTCACCAGTCTCCCAGGCCAGCTGGCACTGACAGAGGGATCTTCCTGTGGAAAAGGCTGAGGAACCACGGCTCCTTCTTGCTCCCCACATCCCTGTGTCTCATCCTAAATGTGTTCCACCCCACTTCTGTGGCTGTGTGTCAGACTCTCCTATGAGAGAGATGACTGTTGCCTCGGTGGGAATGAAGGGGCATCACGGGGCTCTAAGGAGTTCCCAGTGCAAATGGTTAAGAGCTTCACTATTAGACCAAGGGTTGGTAGTTCAAATTCACCTAGAGGTGTCTCAGAAAACAGGCCTGGTGATCTGCTTCTGAAAGGTCACAGCCTTGAAAACCTCCTGGGGCAGTTCTATTCAGACAAACATGAATCTGGACTGACTTGACAGCAACTAACGACAGCAAGGCCCTGCCTGTCACCACCATCACCAGCCTTGCAAGGATCCAACAGCTGGTCCAGACACGAGGACTCCAGTGAGCAGCCTAAAAAGGTGTGAACTGGGGCCCTTGACCAGATTCATGACTTGATCTTGTCCCCATCCTAGAAGAGCTAAATTAACAACTTTGAGGGATCTTCACAGATGCACCCCAAGTACAGGAGTCACTGAGCCGACACATCAACTGGGCACAAGGGTTAGAGGACAGGTCCAGGAGCACAACCCCTGACCTTAACTTCCACAACAATGCCCGTGTACCTGGTAGTTTCCAGAACATTCCAGAATTTAAATATTGAGGGACTCTCAATTGGGGTAAGGGGTAGAAAACATGGCGTTAGAAGCACAGCCTCCTGCATGTGCACCAGCTGCACCCCATCTGCCAGCCTTGAAATCTGCCTGCCTGAACCTGACTGGTTCACAGTCCATGCGCCCATACGTTTGCCCAGCTGGAATCCATACCCGCTATCAAAAGACAAGAAAATGCAAACCCAAGTCCTAGTACGCCCCTGTCCAGCCCTCTGAACAGTGAGTAGCCCGGCTTATAGTGTTTCCCCCACACAAGTACCTTTCTAATGCCTTCCAATGAATATACACATAGAGAAGCACACAGGCATATTACATATTTTATCAAAATAGGATGATGTTATACACACTATAGAGCAAATTGCTTTTCTCGCTCATCAGTAATTATAAACTTGGGCAGTCTCTAGAGCCTGCTGTGGAAAGACGCCCAGGGTATGTTGTCCCAGCTGGGCTCTGAGCGCAGCCCTTGCCTAAGCCATGCTCCTGGGCCTGATTATGGCCCAACCTCCCTGAGCTCAAATCTGTCCTCCCTCAGCTTGCCACAGCCTCTGATTTCATGGCTTTGGTGAGCAGTTTTTGCAATCAACAAACAAGCACCTTTTTTTTTGTTTCTGCTGCTTGAATTAAACACCAGGTGACATTCTGAGTGTTCCACTAACTTTAACAATGAACCATCACCACAGTACAATTATGATTATTATCATCTTTAGTTTACAAGGCTCACAGCAGTGGGAGGCAGAGCCAAGAATCAAACTCAAGTCCCCTGGCTCCTGAGTTCATACTCCCAACCATCACACCAGGAGGGCTTGTGAAAACCGAATTTGCTGGGGCCACTACCTGGAGTTTATACTTTAAGAGGTCTGGTGCAGGCCTAGGAATTTACATTTCTAGAACACTCCCAGGTGATCCTAATGATGTCTGCTGTGGAGTTTATCATGAAAAATGGCTTGGCTTTTCTAGCCAATTAATTTGACTTTCCCAAATGGATGGGCGGGAATATGGGAACAGAACATGTCAGCTTATCCACCAGAGGATTGGCTAGTCTCACCAATCCACAAGAGGACTGGCGAGTCTCACCATTAAATTGAGTGGAGCCAGCAGCAGGAGGAAGATCTTCACCACTAGCAAAAGAAGCAAGAGAATGTGAGATGTTAGTCGGAGGCCTACAGACTGGGGGGCCGATGGGAGAAGCAACCACACAGTCACAGTGGAGAATCAGAGACCTGACATGGGACCTGGGGACTGGAATGCCATTGGAAATGGAGTCAAGGCCCAAGTTTGTTGGACAACTAGGGGTGGGGAGTCATACTTTCTAGACAGAATTTTGTAACACTGGCCTAAAGCCAAGAGGCTCAAGGCTGAGACACCTGAGGAAATTCCAGAAGCTGTCCTGACTGTATTCTGCTCCTAACCTGGATTATAACTTTTTCACTTCCCCAACATATTGTTCTGTGTGGTCTGTGAGCTATCTAGATTTGGGGCCCAGTAAAGCAGTAAGATTAATGCTGGGATAAGTACAAAAAGGTATGGGATGGTGGGGGACTTGTCTACATCATAGGACTTGGTTTTATGGTGTTGATGCTGTTGTCAGGGACAGTTCCCTTCTGTGAAATTGGTAAAGGTCAAATATGGCTGCCCCCATGTGGCCCTTGCTCTTTTTACACCTGCACAGGGCCAAGCTTGGAGAATCCCTGAATCACGCTCTACTGCCCCAGGTGATTCTCTCTTTCTCTCTCGGGTTACCTCGTGATGGGTGCTTCCCTCAGCCTCTCTCCTCAGTGCAGACCAGCTGTTATACATATGGCTCAGGGATAAAATCTTGCAGCCCCCACAGACCAGAACACTATTGAATGAGCAAGTGATCTGAGGCAGCATGAAACCATTTAACCACCATGATCTAAGTGGTTCCTGAGGACTAAAGGCTGCCTTTACTTCCTATGATAGTCTTTTGCTTCTCCTAAAAGTGTCCTCCAGACATATTCCCTGCCCCTCCCCCCAAAGCTGTGCAGTATAACATTAACTCAGCAATTCTGGGTTGTCCATAGCTGACACATTTCAAAGACAAGTTTGGTTCTCATTTGGCTCCTAAAGGCTGTCTCTAACCCTTAGAATATCTTATCTAATTAGAGTATCTTTGCTTACCACCTGTGGCCTGAGGACAATCTACGCTAATAATGACATTTATGTAGGGGATCTTTTTGATCTCTGGAGGGGCTAAAGATGACAGTAAATCATACGGCACCTGGACAGCAGAGCTTGGGTGAACTTCCCTAGTCAGTGGTACTCCATGTCACACATCATTGCTGGGAGTGGCAAGTGCTGTCCATTATTCCATTTGGACAGGACAATAAGAAGCCTGCTCCAGGTCTCTCCTGGGCCCTGTTGTTGATTGCCTTCGAGTCAAGTACGACTCATAGCGACCCTCTACAACTATCGGCATTTATCAAAGGGCATAGTTTCCGGAGGCATGTTATTTAGAAAGTGGATGCCACTTCTGCTTCCAAACCTTTCATAGTATGCTATTGTTATGTGCCATTGAGTCGTCTGTGATGTATAGCAACCCTATGTACAGCAGTTCTTAACCCTTTCTTGTCCTGAATAAGTCCCACTAATTCCAACACATCTACTACCCCCATTGCCCCAGTTACTGACTGTATCAATCCATTTTATCCGGGATCTCCCTCTCCTGCGCTGTCTGTCCACCATTCCGAGCATGATGTCCTTTTCCAAGGACCGATCTCTCCTGGCCACGTGCCCAAAGTAACTAAGGCAGGGCGTCAAAATCCTAGTCTTCTAAGAGAGACTTGGCTTCACCCTCTCCAAGCCAGATCTTATTCCTAATTTTATTATAAAGTCTTTTCTTTGCAACAATCCATAACCACGTGTAGAAAATCTCTACTGAGTTCTCAGTCCTTCTAGAGAATCATGGAACCTGAGGGTGATCTTCCAGGTCTTTGAACACAGGGCTCACCCACCAAATAAACAATTACAGAACACCTTTGTCCAACAGTTCCAGGCTTTAAAAGCTTAGCCTGCATTGCCAGCTCTGCTCATCCCCTGCGAACACACCAGGTCCACGGAGGATGCTTATGGTCCACACACTTCCCTCTCTCCATGCAATCCCCCCGAGAGACCCTGTCCAGCCCAGGCAGCCTCTCTGCCCACCAGGTGACATCCTGGGCTCCACATTCCCCCACCCTTACCCTTACCTGCCAATGACCTCGATGTTGGAGATGGCGTAGAAGTACTTGTAGAGGTTCTCGCGCTGCACGTAGGTGCCGCCCAGCGCCGGCCGCAGCAGGCGCATGCGCAGGTCCGTGAGCGTGAAGAAGTCCTTGAGGCCCTTGGCGCTCTCCAAGCGTGTGTAGAGGTTGTCCATGTTGCGCAGGTCTGGCCCGGCGAAGATGGCGAAGCGGTCTCGCACCTCGAAGCGGACGTGCTTCTCCTTCTTGGAGCCGGCCCAGCGCGAATACTCCTCGGTGCACAGCACCCGGTGCGCGCTGCTGGAGGACAGGTCCCTGGCGCGGCGCGCGGGCATGTGGAAGGCCTCCATGCAGTCCTCGGCGTAGAACTGGTAGGGCTGCCACGTGCGCCCGTTGTCCAGCGACTTCTCCAGGACCATGACCGTGGGCCGGCCGTACTCGAAGGTCACCACCACGTCATCTGTCAGCTCTACGCTTTTGTTCCAGGAGAGGGTGATGTTGGCCTCCAGGGGGCTCGGGTAGCGGCTCCAAGTGACGCTCTGCCAGTACGTGGCCAACCCCTCATCCTCCTTGTCAAACATGAGCAGGGGCGGGTGGGCCAGGTCCGGGTTGGAGGCATCGCACTCATTGCTGCACAGGTAGGGGTTCTCCTGCTCGGGGAAACAAGGGAAAAGTGGGCGTTGGCTGCTCAGGAGGGCTGCAGGCCTCTTTCACTGCCCCAGTCCACGGGTGCAGAAACGAGCGGTGCATGCTGGGCATCAGGAAAGGCTCCCTGATGGGCCATTTGAACTCATTTCCCCCACTATTCCTCAAATCATGTGCTTCCCAAGAAATCACACACTTAACCCTCCTCTGAGTTCCAAGAAGCACTGTTAATGCATTTGGCTGTTAACAAGAAGACTTGAGGTTCGAGGACACCTAGCCACACTTCAAACAAATGTCTGGAGAATTACTTCTGAAAAATCAGCTGATGAAAAAGCCTGTGTTCTGTTCCAACACTTACATGATCTCCATGAGCAGGACTTATTAGGCTTAGTTTAAGCACGGCCAAGAAAAGAGGCTGTTCCTTCTTCATTTCACGGCCCATTGTGGGCCCCTAGTCTATGTAAAGTCCTCACTGCTCGTTATTGACACCAGCCTGCTCTCTCACACCTGTGACACTGGGATGGGGCGTCCTGGAACCACTCTCACCTTCCATGCTTGTCCTGACTCCGAGCCTACGAAAAAGCCCTTTCTTCTCCTCCACTGGCCTTTCACACTACCTTCAAAGTCCTTACTCACATTCTTGACTTTATAAACATCTCTTACCCAGGGATGCCATCCTAGACCTTTTTTTTTTTTTTTAAAGACTACTATTTGCAGCAGCAGGAGTACCACTCATGGTGGAAGTCAAAACCCCGGCTGCCTCCAGTTCCTTCCTGGTGGTGGCACTGAGCTCAGCGCTTGATGGATCTTGGTTCTCTCCTATTTCTAATATTCCCTCCAGTCACAAAGCTAGTACATCATCTCCATGTTCCAATTGAAGGAATTTGGGCCCTGGAAGGTTGAGACCCGACTTGGGAAGAAAAGAGCCAAACTTGGCCTGTCTGATGCATCATGTCTGATGGTCACTCCTTTCTCTGGCCCCAAAGCAAGTGATTGACGTGGAGCCTGTCACACAAGGGGAAGATGCTTGGGGAGTACTTGTAGGTCACCTCCTTCTTAGGGGTATGTGCTTATGGCAGGTCATTTCCTGGTCCTTGGGAAATGGCTGGCAGGTCCCTTGTAGGGGATAACAGCTGAGGACTGCAGGGACCACCACTCGCTTGCTAACTCTCTGACACATGTGTGTCTGACATGTGCCCATTCTCCCATCCCCACTGAGGTCCCCAGAAGCTGGGCTGCCCACACCTCACATCCAGCAAGTACCAGGTGAAGCTTTACCTCCATGGTGACTCAAACCCATTTCCATGCGTCTGATCCACTGTGTGAACTTAAGCCAGAGGCCTGCAAATGTCACTAATCACCACTCTGTGCCCTGGTCTGCTCTCAGCCTTTTTTGATGAATATTTCAGGTCTCTAGTTTGCTCAGAGACAAAACGGCTTGGATCTGAGTGAAAACCTCTCACTTTGAAATAAGCCATGTGGTTCCCAGTGGGGGGAGTGGGCTCATCAACTTCTGAAGGGCTGGACTGGCATTCCCCACCCCAGCCACCTCTGCCACTTGTTACTGCTGCTGGCCCTCAGGCCATTGGCTTTCATCTGTCCAGTGGACGACAGACTCCTAGGCTGCCAGGACCCTTTGGTGGGCAGGGCAGCCCCTGAAGTTTACTGGGGATGAAGTTTACAAAGCCTTCCTTCACCTGAACAGTTCTACCCTTGGTCTCCCCACCACCACTGTTCACCCCCACCATGGTCCAGCCCTCTTCAGTTCAAAGGACCTCTGGGTGGAAGATGCAGTATTGCATCCACTGCCTGTCTGAGGGCCACTGAGGACCAGGGTCTCCTCCAGAGCAGGTGGTATTTCTGAGCAACGCCCATGTGTTCTAGGTCACCATGGCAGGAAGGGGGCTGCTCTGAGCTTCCTCCCACCTTGGCTGTGTGACCTGAGCAAGTCGACCTGAATGAGGAAGCGGCTAGGATGTCCCAAAGGGATAATTTAGTGGTCTGTACAGGCGAAGTTTGGTGACGAGAGAGTAGTAAAGAGCTGGGGTGTGAGCAGTCACCTGACCCATGATCACCCTGCAGTCACCATCATGGCCCTTAGCATGGGCCTCCTGCTTGTCTGCCAGCAGTGGAGGCTGCTCCAAGCCCACAGGAGAATGGGCTCTACATGTGTCATTTGGGGACAAGGTGGGCAGATACCCTAAGAGCTCATCCCTGAATGATGGGAGGTGGGCTAGGGCAGGAAGATGCACTGATTATGCAATCAGGCACGGGGTCTTTTCTCTCCACCCCGTCCAGCAGATACCCTCTTACCACAGCCACTGTTGTCCCTTCTCTCCTTGGAGTTTCATTTCAGGGGACGACTGGCTCAGAGGCTGAATAGTGGGCTTGGGGCAGTATCACCAGTAGTTATCTCTGGAGTCCTCCTCCATTAGCTTGGTTCTCAATAGGCTGATACCAGGCGCTTCATGCTACCCCTGTCCACCTGGAAAGCTTTATTATCCATATCAAAGCCTGTGCCTTCTTCCTGCCCTTTCTTATTTCTGTCTGAGCGTTTGATCCTGTGATAATTTGCTTTCCTCCAAATTTTCAGAATGCCTCCGTCACACCTCCTCCAGAAAGGCTGCCCCCACCCCTCACCCCAGCTGTCTTTGAACCCAGTTCCTTTATCTTCCACCACGGGTCTGTCAGTGTGCTTCTCTGGGACAGCGTAGCGAAGCCTCTGTGGGGCCTAGCCCTCCGTATGTGCTTACTAATGGCCATGGTGGTGTGTACCGTGGAGTCTGGCCGCATAACTGACCCTCCAGCGGGTTTTCAAAAGACAGTACATTGTGTGGGAGATTACCTATCTTTGTTCCACAGATCAGCTGGTGGGTTCGAACCTCATGCCTTATGGTTGGCAGCACAACTCCTTCTCACTCAGCCACCAGCACTCTCTTACTAAATCATTGTTATTAATATATTAGCTAATTGTAATAGTTAATGTTTATATTAATACATCTCATAGTGAATGTGGGTATTATTCCTGTCAGTCTTCAACACTGATGTGTGCAGCCCACACCTTGCCTCTTCTCTGGTCCTCTTTGTCCCTCTACCTTGCCTTCCCCCACCCTGCCTGGGCTTCCTTGTCCTCACTGGTCATGAGCCCAGGGGACAAAGGTCCTTCCAGTTTCCCTCAAACCTTCCATCTGTGCCCAGCCTGTCTGTCATCAGGAAGACTGACAGGGCTCTGCCAGGGGATGGGCCCACCCTGGCTGCCAGGGCCTGGCTGTCCTAACCTGCAGGGTCCACTCAGCCCCCGCCCTGGCCCGGGAAGCAGATGGTCAGAAGCTAATGAATCAGCCTGTGTATTTACCAGCCCCGCGCCTGCTGCGGAGCGGGCTTAATCAACAGCGAGTACAATAAATAAATCCCATGCCGACGCCAACACAATTCTCTCTCTCTCTCCTTTCCCTCTCCTATTTCTCCTTCCCTCCCACCCTAGGATCTCGGAATTCACTTAACCATTTAGATCTTGCAGGAATGCCGTGGCTCCTTGCTAAGTCAAGGCTGAGCTGACACACCATTTGCTCACACTCTCGCTTTCCTTCTGTTCTTTGCTAGGGAGGACGGGAGGCTCCAGCCTGCGATCAGTAGCGCAGTTTGCTCCAGCATCTCACCACCCTGCATGTGCTGCATCTGACAGCTGATTACCCCTTGTGTGAGGGGTGGGGATGTCCCCCCAGAGGGTGGGACAGTGCCAACCTTCCTGGTCCGCACATTCTCCCTCATCTCCAGCAGACCAGATTAACTACTGATGAAAACAACAGTCAGAACAAAGTGGTTTCAGACGAAGCAGGGGAAACCAGCTATGTCTGAGACACACCCGTAACCTTTTAGGATGACACCAAACCCAACCTTTGATACGATCAAAAGCAGGATCTGTTTCATGAAACATTTTATAGATTTTGAAAAAATTGTCTCCCCGCAAACCGCCTTGGATCTTTCTCTAGAAAAATGCTGTAGCACAACACATTTTCCATAATAATTTAAGGGGTTCATGGTGCCATAAAAAAAACACCTAGGAATACCTAAAATACACACACACTGCCACAGAGTCAGTTCCAACTCACAGCAACCCTCTGTCAAATTACCAAGGCTGTAGATCTTACAATAGGAGACACCTGTCTTTGTCTCTCAAAGTACCTGGTGGATTTGAACCACTGACCTTTTGGTTAGCAGAGCAACATGTAACTCATTAGAGTGCCTTAGGAATTCCTAAAGATGAAGAATGCTCATCCTAGACTCTAGACCAGTTTAGAATAATGGAACAATTAAATGAACTATTTTTAAAGTCCAGTTCAGTTTTTACTCCATTAGTTAAGGCTGTGTGACCTTGAGAAAGTGAAGGAACTTCTCTCTGGTTTCTTGTCCAGAATTATATGAGATAATGGGCATGAAATGCCCAGCAAATATCCCCAAGTGATAGCAATCATTATTAAAAGTTGGTCTGGAAATGGTTAAGTGCTCAACTACTGACTGAAAAGTTAATGATTTGAATCCATCTAGAGGCACATAGGAAGAAAGGCCTGGCAACCAGCTTCCATGAGTTGAAATTAATAGCAAATGACTTAGTTGTTCCTTACTATTAAACAGCAGCTTTATACCTTTCAACATATAGACTCTGCTAGTAACTCTGGAGAAAGGAGATGTGTAGTAGAGACCACCAGGCTTGTAACTAGTGAGGCTGAGAAATTTTTAGTGTGGACTGTTTTTGGGGCTGCCGGCTTGGGAGAGCCTAATGATGGCTCTTACTCAGTACATGGGAGCCCTGGGAGTCTGAAGGGAGTTGCAGTACTAACCCCAAAGCAACATCTCTGGCAGTATGAAGAAAACAAAAATTCTCACCATTAGATTACTAGGTAACATCGTGATAGATGGCGAGAAGATTGAAGCTGTAAACAATTTCTTCTTGGATCCACAATTAACACCTTTGGAATCATCAGTTAAAAAAAAATCAAAAGAT